GTGCCGTGCCAGGGGCAGGGTCTGCGGGCTGGGTGCTGGCAGGCTTGCACCTGGCACGGGCACCGTAGCCAGCCCGTGACCCTTTAAGGGGTCCGGGGCCGGGAGGGGGGCATAGAGTTTCCCTGGTGTTGGCCAGAGTGGCCACCAGGGAAACCTGGGGAGGGCTAGCCTCCCACTAGTTCGAGCTAGGCTTAATCCTCGTAAAATGAGGTTTACCTAGTTCCAACTAAGTGCTCCGCTAGTTCGATTCAAATTCGAACTAGCGGAGCGCTAGTGTAGCGCCTAGGAAAGTTAGTTCGAACTAACGTCCGTTAGTTCGAACTAACTTTTCAGTGTAGACATACCCTGAGCGTGCTCTATTGCCTTAGTTGAAAAACCACTGGCTTTTAGCTCAGGCTGTAGAGGCTCATGCACTAAGCTCCAGAAGTCCCAGGTTTGGTTTTGCCTGTTCATGTTACAAGTATACTTGCCAGACATTCACATTGAATGGGTGCAGGTAGGTCAACTCTATAAGCAGTTTCTTAAAGACAATGTATGTCTGCTCTCTCCTATTTACAAACCATATAGGAACAAACATTTTTGTGGCTATTAATCCATAACTCAGCATAGTACAGACCAGTGTGATTAGAAACAACTAGGCACTGGCTTAGCTGAGCTAGAAATTGAAAAGCCCATTGGAACCAAGGAGTTGTTAAGATGAGGGTGCAAAGAGAATTTGGTCAGAGCACATGCCAAGTCCTGTTTCTCTAAGGTGCCAGCACACCTATACCTTGCCCTGCTATGGAGGGGAACATGATGGTGATGGTCTCCCAACTGCTGAGGAGAATTCTCACAGCTGGTACAAAGCTTCCAACTTGTGGAAGTCCAAAGTCTTGCCCACTAACCTCATGACTAATAGAACAAAATAAGATGGACTATGACTAAAGGCATACACATGGGATTGGGAACATTAGCAGGCCCAAGAAATTAACTGACTGACCTGAGAAGAACTAATTTGTGTCCCTTTCTGTGTTTTCCAGGTCGGGTGTATGAAGGAAAGGTTTATACTGGCTTGTGTAACTTGTATGAAAAATGGGACCGATTGACCTTATCGCAGCGCAAAGGACTAAATCATCGTTACCACCTTGGTTGTGGCTGCAAGGTCTGTATTGCATTCACTTAGATGCAATTAAAAGCCTAGTTCTAGACCTGGGCTCATTGTAGCTCAATCCACCTGCATTACTGCTATCAGGGAAGGAATAAAAGGGCAAGAGTTTTGTTGGTTTTGGGCTTTTTTACAAAAGAGAAAAGGCAACACATTTTGCTTCCTTGCTGATTTCACAACATAATGAACACATTAAAAATTTCTCCCTGTGCCTTCTCTGAACTTTTTTTGGTATAATTTGGGGGTGGGAGCGAATTTATGACAATTTCACAGAAATTTTGCAGATGAGTTAATTGTGTGGAGGGCTGCTGAGAAAATGTGCCAAGCTTTCCCCCCCAAAAAACAGTTTGAGCGGTTAAAAGCTCAGAACTTTAAGAATTAGCACTCAATCCCCATCCTGCAAATACTTAGGCACATGTTTGACCCTAAACCAGAGGTTCCAAATCTATGGGGCACAGTGATAAGGTTATCCCCGGGACACAGAGACCTAATGGAGCCAGGCTGAAAAGCTGGAGTGAAGAGAGGGTTCTGTCTGGCCCTCAGTACATTTAAACTACGGAGTCACAGAGGGGTAGGTCCCGGACTTGGCACAAGCTGGGACAGAGTCGGGCTGCCTGCCCACCCAGCTCATAGTACATTTAAACTAGAGAGCTGCAGTGGGGTGTAGGTCCTGGACCCGGTGTGGACCGGGACAGCCCGGCTGGAGCAGCCTCTGTCTGTGGCCAGCTTGGACTGCAGCAGTCAGAGACTGCTGTGTGGCAGTAGCCCCTGTCCACAGGATCCCAGCAAACAGGGGCTGTTGCCAGAGCAGCCTCTATCCATGGCCAGGGGCTGCTTCGCAGCAGCCTTCCCCCCCCCCCCCTCCCCCCCGCAAGTGGTCAACTAAATTAACTGATAAGCCCAGGCCAACTACTCACTTACATCCCTAGTATAGGATACTTCTCCCCGATTAACCCTGTTGAAAAGAGAGGAGTATGCATGATACATGAATTTCTGGAGTGGAGCTCAGCAAAAATAGTTTGGGAACCTTTGGATTACAAATAATGGGAGGGGAAAAGATGAAGGGAGGTGTGATGAATTCTGTGAATGGTAAAGTGGGCATGACTGGAAATGTTTGTGCATCACTGTTCTAAGCACACGGACAGTACCATTGATGTTAATGGTACAGGCAGTCCCCGACTTACGTGGATCCGACTTACGTCGGATCCCTAGATACGAACGGGGCGAGGCAACTCCCGCACATGCGCAGCAGCATTCCCGGGGCTCGCTCACCTGGGTCCTAGGATCCTCCTCCTCCTCGGGCCAGCTCCGACTGGGGTCCCGCAGAGCTGCCGGGCAGAGGAAAAGTGCCTCCCCCTGCCCGCTCCCGCCCCCCCCCCGCGGCCTCGCATCCTGCACGCCTTCCCCCTCCCCCCCTGCCAGCAACAGGCTGCCCCCTCCCCTGAGCAACAGGCTGGCGAACAGCAGACAAAAGCAGCCTCTCCGCCCCTCCTCCCCCTATACATGCTGGGCTCCCTGGGCAAACAAAGACTCCACCAAAACAAACAAAGTGCTGGCCTCATTGTGTTAGCAAAAAAAGGACCCTCCTCCTAGAACCCTGGGTGGTGTGTGGAAATAAAGCTATTAGCTCAAAGCATGGTGCAGAGCTGTTTGGTATTTGATGAGTTACTCTTTTAGTCCTGAGTTTGTCACAGGGACAGAAATAGATGTGAAATCTTCTGAACAGGGGAACAGACAGCAAAACAAACATTAGAGGGGAGTTAACCTTTCCCTATGCTATCCAAAACTAAAAAAAATGTTTGGCTAGAGTTTCCCCTACAATATGTACCAGTTCCGACTTACATACAAATTCAACTTAAGAACAAACCTACAGTACCTATCTTGTACGTAACCCGGGGACTGCCTGTACTACTTGTGCAGTAAGTTAACGACATGTTCATATGTTGGCAAAATCAGACCTTGATTTTTTTAGTCAGTACTTTAGTGGTGAAAGAGAATTTCAGAACCTCAGTTTCAGATGTAAAAGCAAAGGCCTATAAAATGTGCCTTTAATGTATCCTTACTCACTTGCTGATTATAATTGCAGATTAAGCCCTGCTACTACCTGCCCTGTTTCGTGACTTCCAAGAACGAGTGTCTTTGGACAGACATGCTCTCCAACTTCGGTCATTCAGGGTCTCAATCAAAGCACTACGCCTGCATCCGACAGAAGGAAGGATACTGCAGCTGGTACAGAGGATGGGCGCCTCCTGATAAAACTATCATCAATGCCACAGATCCCTAAGCACACAGTCGCTTCCCTATTTCCTTTCCTCCTTCCCTTTTGGCTGAGCTTCTCTTGGACAATAACAACTCCTACCAGATCATGATGATGACAAAGAAATTAGTGCCTGTTTTTCTTGCAAATTTTAGCACTTCGAACACTTAAAAAAAAGAAAGAAAAAGTTTATGCTGTCATACTGAATTTGTTTTAACCACCGTTTTCAATTTTGAGATCATTCATTTCAATCAGATTATATTCATCTGGGAACTTTCGTTTGCACATCAGAAAAAATTATGGAGCCCTTGCTCTCTATGTATCATTATCTATAGCAATATAATCTATATTTTTTTAGGAAAACAAAAATATAAAAACTATTCCAGCTGGGCACTATATCCTTCTTCCATGCCCTGGCTTCCTCAAGCCCTCTTCACACACTCATTGCACAAAATGTGTAGCTTGAAGGGGAAACTGGTTTAATTGATTAGAGCAGTAAACAAAGCCAACAAACAAACCCTTATTCAGATTGGAAACTGGAAGTGTGACTGGATACAGCAGTGGGAGAACTCAGCTGATGTTAAGACACTGCATCATCTGATGAAAACACCAAGGACTGAATGTCCCCCTTGCTCATTCAGTCATAGTGTGAAGGCAAGATCACAATGGAAGCTCTGGGGTTTCATAGAACGAAAAGAGATGGGTATTATTGTGAGGTTGGTTTTTTTTTAAACCTGCATTACAGGAAGTAATTCATCTAAGTGTAATGCAGCAGGTGAAAGTCTGAGCTTTTCTCTTAACAGAGTTGCTCCTGAAATTTATGCTCCTACAGCAAAACTCCTTTGTGAACATCTTAAGCCAAACAGATGCAAATTATCAAATACTGAAAATCAATCAATCACATGGAGAAGGAAAAGGGGGAGACCCACTAGGGTTTATTTCTATACAAAATCTATTGCCAAAATAGTGTTTAGCTGAAGTAAGATGTATATACATATAATGACATAAGCTATTTTTGACAGGACGTGGAATTATTTGGTGTTATATACAATGAATGCTTTGATTGTGTTTTGAAACAGAAATCTTGACATTCCTAGTCAGTGATTTATTTTTTGGTTAAAAAGACATTGAAACTCCAGTATATCTGCAGTAGTGGTTAGAATCACTGTTTGCTCCTCACTTCAGCCATCATGGCTTACCTCCTACAGCTACACTGGCTATAATTGTATATGTAGTGAAAGCAAAAGCTGGTGGAGCGAGGCAAGGAAAAGCAACAGCCAAAAACTCTAAATTTCAGCTGTCCAATGGATTCCAAGTGCTCTGTAACCCCCAAGCTGTTGTTAAGCATAACTGTGGGCATGTGCTTATTCCACGTCCTGAGGTGACATGGGGAAAGGGATGGTCTTGGATTCACTTGTTGACTGGAGGATTTTATTCATTCAGTTTTTATTCAGAAAACTATAATATAAATGTTCTTATTAAATAAAAATATTTTAAGGTTTAATGTTGATGTGGCGGGGTTGCTGACAGACTGGGTGACTGTGTATATTTTAATAAGTTTGTAGGGATAAGGGGGCAACACTTAACTTTTTTATAATTATTTATCTTACATAGTCATGTATCTTCAATTCATTCCACTTAGGAAGCAGAGCTGCTGTCAGCAACAAAAGACATTGCAGTCATCCTAGACAGGGACAATATAGCATTCTCTATGCAGTGATCTTTTCAATTTATCTGAGGCTTCTTCACCCATAGGAGAGCAATGTATTCTAGTTTTGGACTGATGCATCAATTGTTCAGGGCCTTTTTTACTTCAGTGATGCTATGCTGATTTACACCAGTTGAGGATCTGACCCATTTAATCGACTCTTTCAGCAGAATGTGTGCGATAGGTTTAAATGGTATTTTTTCTAGAATTGTTTGGATTAGAAGAGACGATGGCTGGAATATTCAATGCCTAAGTGGTTTAGGAGCACTAACTTCACTGAAAGTCAATGGGACTTGTGCCTAGGCACACTTTTAAACATGCCTGGTCCCTATGCCTAAATTATGGACCTGATCAAAGGCAATAAGCACCCTCAATTCTTACTGAGATAAGGGGGAAATTGGGTTGTTCTTTAGGATCAGGTACTATATCTCAGTCTGCTTCCTTTTTGAGCTGGGCATCATCGAGTTGGGCTTTCAACACAGGGGACCGATTTCTGCTCCACCTGGGCAACCGCAATGCAGTCACAGGTGTTACTGAAAGCAGAATTGTGCCCCTCCATCTCGAGCAATGATAATTCTACAACCATACTTCACAAGTTGTGAAGTGACCATCACTGGAGCTAACCAACGCCTAACCCAACTACCATTTGATCAAAGGTGCTTTAGCGGTCATTAAATCTCTCAGCACAGCCATTGCTCCAAGCTTTGGAAGGCGGGAGGAAGAGGCTTGTTATGAAAAGAGTTGTCAGACTTTAATTTGGATTTCCATTAAACCATAGCTTTGTGTATTTTACCTGCTCACTGACTGTATAATTTAAAATCACATAAATAACTGAAACTCGACAGTATTGCAATCACATTATTGTGGAAAATCTTTTTATTTTGTTGCTATGAAGATGTGTGTTGCTAAGTAGGCTGTAATGTATCTGCATGCATTGTAAACAAAACCCAACCCTGCTACCAGCAGAGTTATTTTCCTATTCAGATTTTCATTTTATATTGCAGAGGGTAAAAATATTTTTGACATACAGACAGCTTGACTGGTAAAGGCGGGGGGTTGGAAAGCAAACCTCACTGTTGCCAAATAAAGATGCAACTTTAGAGGCTTTTTAAAACATGGAG